TAAAATTCGGTCTATCCATGTCCTTGTAAAAATGGTCTGGACAGTCCATGATTTGACTTGGGAATGTCCAGGACTATCTGTATGAGGCATGGTCTGTCCAACGTATGGAGTTAGGAGTGTCCAAAGCTATTCTTGTAACACATGGTCTTTCCGTAGACATAATCAATCTAACTGGATAGTCCTGCAGTCTGACCTGGAACTGTCCAGCCCTCTTTCTATAAAATATGGTCTATCCATGTGCATGTAAAGAATGGTCTGGACAGTCCAATAATTTAACTTGGGATCATCCAGGACTATCTTTATGAGCTGTGGTCTGTCCAACATATAGAGTTAGGAGTGGAAATGATTTAAACTCATGCTACTTCAAACTGTTAATATGCAAGTAAAAAATGAAGCATAAAAATAAACTGGTAATACCGAGCAAACCAGATTTCAGATGAGCTCATTTGCTTCAGTAAGTTGGTGCAACAATTTTCAATTTATATCAAAATGAAGCAGAAGATGTAGAAAAACATTTGCAGAATTCATCAATTTTATGGTCCCAGGACACTCCAAAATGAGCCCCCTGACACCCCGTGACAGTGACAAAACTCCGGTAAAACCACCTGGTAAGTGTTGCAATAGGTCAGTTTAAGTACCCTAAACACTCCCAAATATTCACCCAAACACTCCCAGACTGCACTCAAAAATCTGCCAAAACACTCCCAGACTGCACCCAAAAACTCACCAAAACACTCCCATACTTCACCCAAACAACACTCCCAATCGTATCCAAATGCATCCTGAACCTGAAACATGCCCAGAACTGGGTAATACCATGCAAAGTGCCTATTAGGGCTAACTCTATAGCGACAAAGTTAGGCCTAAGAGGTACCATGAAGGGGGGGCCTGAAGTGCATTTCTGAGCCTCATGTATGACCCTTTGTAATATGATACTGCTGCCTCAGGTTCTTCAGAGTCGGGGGCCCTCGTGCTGGTCTGTCCAGACTGTTCCGCTTGTCAGATATGTGTTATCGAATCACACGGCCCTCGACTGCTCTTTCAGAAGGATTTACGAGGGCAGACTGTTTCAGTGTGTATCAGCGCAGCAAATGAGTACTGACAGAGAGCAAGAATTCTTGCATGTGAGCATTGGTTATCTCTAAAGATGAAGCAGGAGTGTTGAATTGGGAGACCTCCACAATGAGCTGTGTGAAAAAATAAGATGTTACTCCTAGCGTGGCAACTGGCTATCACGAAAGGAAACATACTGCATTAATGTGTTGCCTCTTGAACAGAGGTAGCTGCAGGACTTTTCGAATTGCAACAGCATCAGGTCCGTCCTCAGATGCTTTATTTCTCTTGCCAAGCACACTTGTAGTTGCTAACTGTACTGAAGGGCCCAGCATGAGGGATGCAGTACTTTCCTCTCCAGCAATTGCATGATGTGGTTAAGAAGTCTGGTTGAGCAGAAGCACAGACAAAGTGCAATCATTCGTAGGGTCAGATAACGATGAGGTTTGTTCCCCTTCTTTCTGTGGTGACGCATCCAGATAAAGTGCACGTTCTTTATCTGGATGTGTCGTCACTGGAGCACCTGCCTGACCATTTTCAGGAATGTCTGCCTTTTTGTCAGATGGTGCATCTATCCTTCCCTGAGCTCTTCTCGGGTAATTGGGAAAATGCCTAGACCATCGCACAATCCCATACATAAGTTCTGCCCAAAGTACCCTAGGATCATTGTTAGTAGGGGGACTGAGGAGGAGTGGATCTGCAAGATTTGCTTCTGGCATCTTGCAGTCTTCATCCATGTCTCGTTCATGCTATTGTCCATGTCAACATCTGTGTCCTCATCTTCAGACCAATCACTCTCTCCAAGCATGCCATCGATAATGCTGATTGTTCCTGAAGGGCGTCTGCACATGTGCGGAGGACTGCGACTGAGTTGGATGGCCGTCAAGGTTGTCTGTGAGCGAGGAAGACTACGGTTCAGTTCTCGAGGCGTGGCTGTCTGGAATGTTCGCGAGCGAGGAGGACTGAGACTGAACCGCTGAGTAGTCACTGGAAAAGTCATCCTCGAGCGAGAAGGGCTGAGGCTGAGATGCTGAGTGGTCACTGGGCAAGTCATCCGTGAATGAGGAGGACTGAGACTGAGCTACCGAATGGTGGGTGGCAAAGTTGTCCACGAGCGAGGAGGGCTGCAACTCAGGCTTCGAAAAGGAGCATCACAATGAACTTGACTAAAAAGAAGAGGTGCAGTCTCATCAGAGGCAGTAGGCGATGGGGGGAGTGAACGAATGGACTTCGTTTCAGAGACAGGATCAACATCGACATCCTGCCTCTTCCATTTCATTGACAGTCTCAATTGGTAACACCCATCCTGGATGTTTCCTGCTTGATCTTTATGGCTCTGTTGGCCACACTTTTGAGTTCATTATAACTGGCTGACTTGGCCTGATACTGGTTTCTGAGTGTCCTGATCATGGCATCCTTTTGATGAGATTCGTTTTGAGTGATTATCTGGTCCTGCATAATGAACTGCACCTTGATATTGTTCTTCTGAAGTTGTTCAGTTGCGTCATCTTTGTCCTGTTGAACTTTTGCGAGCTGACCGTGGGCCTCCACAAGCTGACTGTGGGCATCTGCGACAATGTGATTTCTCTCATTCGTAACTTTCATGAGCTGAGTGCAGACCTCTGTGAGCTGAACATGGGCATCTGCGACAACACGATTTCTCTCATCCGTAACTTTCGTGAGCTGACCGTGGGCCTCCGCGAGCTGACCGTGGACCTCTGCGACAATGCAATTTCTCTCATCTATAACTTTCGCGAGCTGACCGTGGACCTCCGCGAACTGACCGTGGACCTCCACAACAATGCGATTTCTCTCATCCGTAACTTTTGCAAGCTGAACGTGGGCATCTGTGACAACACGATTTCTCTCATCCGTAACTTTTGCGAGCTGACCATGGGCCTCTGCAACTGTACAGGCATCGTCATCGTCCTCCTTAGTGTTTACGAGCCGAGTGTGGGCCTCCGTGAGCTGTGCATCCTGCACTTGAATCGCAGCCTCCATCTTCACGAACTGACCGCAGGTCTCCCTTAGCTATGTGCGGGTCTTCACAAGCTCTGCGTCCTGTGCCTGAATCACAGCCTTTGCCTCCATGACAATGTGGTTTTGGTCATTCATGGCTTTCACGAGCTCTGCATCCCATGCCTGAATCACAGCCTCTGCCTCCATGACAATGCAGTTTTGGTCATTCATGGCTTTTGCGAGCTGACCACGGGCCTCTGCGAGCTGTGTGTGGGTCTCCGTGAGCTGTGTGCAGGCCTCCACGAGCTGTGTGTGGGCCTTCACGGACTGTGTGTTCTGCAGCAAGGCATGAACATGAACCTTCCTGATGACTATTGTGCAGCATTAGCCCAGAGGACACAAGGCCTGAAGATGGCAATGTAAGTCATACTTAATCGACTCCTGCCCTGGCCATCCATGCATATGTTGATCGGAATCTTGCTGATCTCTCATTCAGCCCAATATCCATCCTTGAGAGTGTACAGCTTCACTCGGTATTGACGTTGTGATGAACCTTTGAATATACTGCTGAATGTCACATCGGTCAGAAGAGTACTCCTGTTGCAGCTCTCCATTTCCACCTGTGAAGGCTGCATATGACTCGACTCTTCACCGCAAGCAGGGATGTTGTTGATTCCTTCCATAATCACCATGTTCGGCTTTGCCCCTTCAACCCTGCTGGCAGTGCGATCAGCAGTCATTTTTTGTTTTTTTGTAAGCAGGGCAGTCTTCTTCCTCTGTTCCTTCCGGAGGTGGCCTTGATCGTTTGCTGCCCTGCAGAAAGTCAGCAATATCTACATACGTCAATAATGAGGAATAGTATTTACCTTTGGGACAGTCTTTTCGATGACTTCTTGCATGGTAAGAGCCTTTTCTTGAGCTTTCGCAGAAGATGCTTCCACTATGGATGCCTCAGCTGCCGCTTTGGTGGAGGCTTCCCTCTGCCTATGCTTCTCGGATTGGTGTCCATCCTTAATTTGCTGCTTGGGTGTTCTGGGCTTGGGAGGAGCAGCGATCACCCTGTTTTTGCTCAGTTCATGTGAAATGCATACTGAGAGTGCAATTTTGGCCACTTGCATCTGACACGACATTGCTTGAAGTTGGGTGTGGTGTAGGGTAGAGCTAAGGTACCGGATGCCCAAATGCAAGTGCCAACTAGTCTCCCATGGGCAGACAGAGACAATTCCTTCAACCTTCGCGGGAGCGCTCCGGATATCCTTGCAATTGTCTGACTATATGCCCCCCCTTTTTTTTTGAGTACAATTTATATACCGCCCGAAGGGCGGTCGGAGGTGTGTAAATACAGTCGTGTAACTACAGAGGACCAGATGCATCTGGGAGCAAAGGAATTTAATGTACGGACTCCAGGTCCTCACAGACGCAACAGAGCAGGCATATAGTAGAAGGGCACGAAGCCCGGTAAGCTGTGTCATGGACCACACAAGCGCCGACAATCTAACAAATGCATATGCCCTACCAACACGAAAACCACAGCTGCAGCCAGTCCATTGACTCATTAGGAACACTGTGTAGGGGGGATCGAATCTCCAAGATACTCCCACCAGACCAACCTCGTCCACCGCAGAGGCAAAGTGGCATGTGGGGTATTGAAACTAAAGAACATTGAGAAGGGTCCAGGCAGACCAGGGTTAGTGAACTGCATGATGGCAGGCCAAGGGGCAGAAACAGTTGGTGGCCAAAGAGATGTCAGGGCGGAGGGGGAGAAGACAGAGGAAGTCAACAGCAGGTGTGGGTGACACGCGACGAACCCTACCATGCAGCAGGCTGGATAAAAATTGATCCCCTGCATTTAAGTGTTGCTGCGCCAGCATGTGGATCCCATATTCAGTGCGGGCATGCCAGGTGGTGGACTAAGAGAGAGCACGGGGGGGTGCTAGAAGAAAAGAAGGGAAGGAGTGTGGGGGAAAAGAAAAGGTCATGCCCGTCGCTACATAGTGACATCAGAGTCGCCAGCGTTGGGTGGCACGGGGCGCTCGAGAGAGGTTGGTGGAGTGAGGCCAGCATTCTGGAAAGAAGTGCGTTTGGGGCACTGGTCAGAGTCGGCATGGTGGAGACCATGGCAGTCCACGCAGTGTGCATAAGTGCAAGGGTCTGAGGTGGCGCGATTCTCCTTCGTGCACACGGTGCACTGATTTGAGGTGGTGGCCAGCACACACATGG